AAAGAAAAGAAAAGAAAAGAAAAGAAAAGAAAAGAAAAGAAAAGAAAAGAAAAGAAAAGAAAAGCGGAGGCCAGGGACATAGCTCAGCAGCACAATGCCTTCGTGCCTGGCAAGTGTGAGGTTCATGAATTCAATTCCTGGTACCCCCCAAAAAGAAACTAATTCTGCATGTAGCTCACAAAACCCTGGCCAATATATTTAAGAGAACGACCTGACAACAGCATACACGTTGATGCTTACCTGCTCTGCTTCCACATAAATGAGGGGGAACCCCATCTGCTTTGTCCAGGTGCTCATCACAGCTGCTATAGGCTTTCCGCTAGCTTCTTCTAAACTCTCCCAAAGGTCCTCTAGAAGGTAAATAGAAACAGTATTAATCTGAAATGTTTGCATGTTTACTTTCCTGTAACAAATCAAATATTTAACTTTTTTTTTTTGGTCTTTTTGAGATAGTTTCAGCTTCCCTAGTGCTGGGATTACAAGGGTGTGCCACTATGCTTGGCTCTTTTTATTTTACGCATTTGGTGCAGGGTCTCCCTACGCAGCTCAGATTCGTAGTGATCCTCCTGTCTCAGCCTCCCCAGCACTAGGATTCCAGGTGGGTGTGTGTGTGCTACCATTCCCAGACTTGGTCCCGGCTCAGCGTGCCTGAGGGAGGGGCCAGCATGGCATGCAGTATCAGGGATCGCTTGACTAAGCAGGCGCTTAGTTCCCTGAGCTATCTCGCCAGTTCTCTTCATTTTTAATTGAATAAAAAATACACAGCAAGACCCTGTCACAAAAAACAATAGGTGGAGGTGAGACAAGAGTCTCACTAAGGTGCCCTGGCTGTGCTCAAATTTGCAGTCCTCCTGTCTCAGCCTCCCACTGTGCCAAGACTACAGCTGCGTACCACCACGCCTGGTTAGGATTACGGATTTCAGGATGAAGGCAGTGTACAGTGTCAAACTTTGATCAGTAAAATGATTCACAATTAGATGTTCACTCTAAAAAGATCACTGCAGCCTTAGTGTAAGCGATGTGGTTGGGAGGAGGCAGGCAAGTAGCAAGTCTGCAGGCAGCTGCAGAATCCTAGTGGCGAGACCACAAGGCATGGGCCAAGGAAGACAGCGAGTTCCGACAGCAAGCAGAGCGCTTCTCTGAAAGGCAGAAGATCGTGGGTGGTGACTCAAGTGGGCTCCAAGCACCACCCGCCTTTCATAAATAAGGAAGAAACCCAAGTGTGAAGCGGTAGGCTTTGTTATTTCAAGTGTGGCCCAAAACCTAGTACGACAAGACTGACACCACTCTCCATTTCTACCTCAAGCTGTTAAAGATTACCTGTGGCAGCGTTCTTTTGCTGGAACTTGGTTAGGTACATATTCATTCCTTTCTTAAAGTCCTGAGAAAACACAATTGTTAAATTTAGAGTCAGAAATACAGTATATGCCTATTTGCAGTCAAGAGCAAATGTACTCAAATACCTGGAATCAGACATACTGAAAAAGACACTGCTCCGATGCTTGCTGCCTTTTGCTTAAGAAGGGATGCCCTGTGTTGTACTTACGCTGTTAAGCACCCCTCACCTGGTAGTAAGGACTGAACCCACAGCCTTCACTGAGCTGTCACCTCAGCTCCACCCATCCAACCACCTACCTATTTCTTGGTATTTTTGGGACAGGGTCTTACTATGCATTCCAGGCTGATCTTATTTGATTTTTCTTTCTTTTTTTTTAGTACTGGAAATGAAACTCAGGACCTCACACTTACCAAGTGGGCGCTCGTACCACTGAGCACTGTATCCCCAGCCCCCTAGATGCTGAGCTTGAGCTCACTATGGTATACAGTTTGGACTGCTGTGAACTTAAAGCAATCCTCTTGCCTCGGCTTCCCAAGTGTGGGGATTAGAGGTGTAGGTCACCACAAACGGTTTTGTTTTCTATTTTGAGACAGGATCTCAGTATAGTAAATTGCTATCCTTGCTTGGGCTGGGCTCACTTCAGTCTCCTAGAGAGGAGGAATTACAGTCATGTGCCACTGTCTTGACTGTTTCACTTTTAAATTTTTGTTTTGCTTTTGTTGGTTTTTTGACAAAGGATCTCACTATGTAGGTCAGGTTGGTCTTAAATTCACTATGTAGTCCAGGCTGGCAGTGAACTTGCAGCAATCTTTCTGCCTCAGCCTCCTGAGTGTGCCCAGCTTTGTTCCTTTTAATTTTTTTATTTTTGGTGGAACCAAGGACTGAACTCAGACCCTTGCACTTGCCGGGCAGGGAAGTGCTTATTCTACTGAGCCATCTCTCCGGTCCTCCTTTTAAATTTTATTATAGCTCTGCAGTCTTACTTCAAACATACTTGTATACCATTATCCTTTTTTTTCTTTGCAGAACCAGGGATTGAACTCAGACCCTTGCACTTGCCAGGGAAGCGCTTATTCTACTGAGCCAACCCCCCCCCCTTTTTAAATAAAGTTTTTTGAGTCTCGCCATGTAGTTCAGGAAGGTCTTGAACTCACTATGTAGCCTAGGCTAACCTTGGTATTGTTGACAAGCTTCCGGCCTCACCCTCCCAAGTACTGGGATTATGGGCGTCCACCAACAAGCCTGGCCTATACATCATTATTCTAAGAGACCAAAATAGTCAATATTAAAAAATGGATAAGTAAAAAGTTACATAGAAAGTCTTAGAATATTTTATTCATTGGCTGGTTGGTGATATAGCTCAGTGGCTTAAGTGCATGCTTGGCAAGTGCAAGGTTTAGAGTTCGATCCCCAGTACCACAAAAGAAAAAACAGAATATTTTATTCATGGAAAACTATGATTTCACTATAAAAGAATGAAGGATTTTTAAAATTGCTCTTTTACCTTATCCCCGATGTAGTCATGCAGCATTCGGATGACAGAGGCACCTTTGCTATATGATATGGCATCAAATATCTCATCAACCTCAGATGGATGGCCCACACTGACCTGGCAGACAGTGTGATTCAGCGTTATGACAGGAAGCAGACAGCCTGCAATACTAAACTGCATGAAATGCTTTCTAGGAAAACCCTTCTTGTGCTCGCTTTGGCAGCACATATACTAAAATTGGAAAACCCTTCTAACTCAGAGATGTTTTTCTGCCTTTAACTCGATGGGCATGATCCTCCCAAGAGTACAGTAACAAATCTTAACTCTGTAGACACAGAGCGTGACCTCAATCACCTCAGAGCCTTGGTACTCACTCCTGACAGCTCTGCCTGCTGGGACCAGTTACTGTGGAACACAGATGCAAAGAAAAATACTGACTTTCAGCAATAATTAAAATGGCTTAGATTATACAGACTCCTGGTTAAACATGTCAAAGTAGGATTTTAACTCTAGCTTTTTTTTTTGCGGAACTGGGGATTGAACTCAGACCCTTGCGCTTGCCAGGGAAGTGCTTATTCCACTGAGCCATCTCCCTGGCCCCTATTCTAGCTCTTTGAGTGTTAACATTTATACGTATACACTAATTGAAATAAATATAAGGTAAGTCAAAAGAGTTAAAATACATACAAAAACAAGCAATGATAATAAAACATCTAGAACTTTCCTTTAAACAATGGCATCAACGATATTCAATATATGGTTTCTCCTGTACTAGTCAATGAAAACGTGTCTCTATATATGGGCTATATTTCTATACTGACTACCCCCCCAAAAAAAATTGGAATCTAATTTGGTTAGGTCTTTAGGACTGAAACAGAGAACTATAAAAACAACTGATGTCACTCATGTACTTTTTCCTCTCCAAGGGGTCTCTTCCTGAGGGGAGCAGGCAGAACAGGGAATATATACTCACTTCAATAGGATGGCTGTTATCCAGGGCGTCTAGCTCCTGGGCCCGGGTGTAATCTGCAGAAACAAACTGAGTCCAGATATCGTACTCTGGAAAACAGTGGTCTACACACAGATACTCAATCCAGGAAGCAAAGCCTTCATTCAACCAAAGATGAGTCCACCATTCCTAAAAACAAAAGCACAAACAGATGAAAAACCACAATCACTGTTATCCCACTAATTTAAAAATATGTCCCCTTTTACTATACCCCAAGACTGACAATTTAATGAACCAAAATTCAACTGAAAACATTTAGTGCAGAACTTGTATCTGTGGGAATGGAGATTGGGGAGAAAAGCATAGAAGAGATATTAACAAAGGTCAGTTATTGATTTGTTTGTTTGTTTGCGGAACCGGGGATTGAATTTAAGCCTTTGCGCTTGCCAGGGAAGTGCTTATTCTACTGAACCATCTCTCTGGCCCCAGTCAGTTGGTTTTAACAAAATGATACCTAAGGGACATTTAAAAAATCTAAGTAACTTATTACTACCAAAGGTAGGAGGAAGGGGCACATATAGAAAAGGAAAATGAACAAAGAAGAAAATATCATTAAAAAAATGATATTAGGCCAGGGAGATGGCTCAGTGGAATAAGCACTTGCCTGGCAAGCGCAAGGGCCTGAGTTTAATCCCCAGTTCTGAAAAAAA